AGGATTTTTCTAAGTTCTTAGTAGTGTTCCTTTTTTATCGTTTTTGTCTGGTTTGGCATAAGAGTAATAATGTATTCATACTCTATTAACACAGCATCATAAAAGAAGTGGGAAAATTTTCCCTTCTCTATTATCTTTTCTGGAAAAGATCATGCAAGATTTGTGTTAATTCTTTAAATGTTTGGAAGAATTTTCCAGTGAAATCATTTGGGTCTGGAGACTTTTTGGGAGGAAGTTTTCTTCTGCAAATTTAATTTATTTAAAATTTTAAGACTACTTGGATTATCCGTTTCAGCTTGGCTGAGGTTTTGTAGTTTGTAGTTTTGAGGAATTGGTCAGTAAGTTGTTTGCACTGTTTTTAAAATATTTTTTAGGATTGCAGTGTCTGTGGTAATGCCTTTTGTTTCATTCCTGATAGTGATTTATCTCTTGTTTCTTTTTATTTTATCTGTCTTGCTAGACAAAGTGGTTTATCAATTTTATTGTTTTTTATTCAAGACCTAGATTTTTGTTTAATTTTCTATTATGTTATTTTACTAAATTTCATTAATTTCTGCTTTGTTCTGTCCTCTATGTATATATTTACACACACAGGTATTTTGTTCTACTCTATTTGGGTTTATTTTGTTCTTTTTCTATTTTCTTGAGGCAGGAACTTAAATTATTGGCCTCAGTTATTTCTTCATTTCTAATATAATCATTTAGTGCTATGAAATTCCCTCTCAGTACTTCTTGAACTGTATTCCTTGTGTTTTGATATATTGTATTTTTTTATTCTGTTCTATGTATTTTTTAGAGAACTCGTCTTTGACCATGGGTTAATTGTTAGCATGCTGTTTAATTTCCAGTGTTTAGAAATTTTCCTGTTGTCTTTCTGCTACTGATTTTTAGTTTAATTTTATTATTGCTAGAAATAAAACTATCATTTTTTAACAATGTGCTGCGGTATTTTTAGTAGTCAAGGATTGATCTCTTTAGGTGCATGCTTCGAGGATACTTGCAATACATGTGTATTCTGCTTTTCTGGGTATAAAATAACATTTTGTTGGCTGATCTCAGGCATTATTAAGTTACTATGGCATCAACTTAAAGTAAAAAATCTCCTCTAAACCCAACAGATATAAAGTTCCAAGTCTTTTTATCTAATTCATCTAAATCAGATTTGGCTAAAGCTCTGGTTATAAGTGCTTGGGCATAATTTTTCTTCATCTGTGGTGAATCTCAGGAATCCAGTTACCTCCTCCTCAAAAACAATGACAACATAGATATAGGATACCAGTTATAGACATTCTTGTTTAAAGAGAAAAAAATTAGAAGAAAAATAGAGTCAACTGTCCCATGCAACTTTTAAATTCAGCATGGAAAACTCCATTGGATTTTTCCAAGGCCTGGGAATAATTCCATATGGTTCATGGCTCTGCTCCCTGTGTTCAAGGTATGTTGGTCTCTTAGAGTCCTTCTCTTTCTCTTTCTCCCCTTTCTTCTTTAGATGTATAAATGGTAGCATATGTTTGCATCTGAGTAGTTTTTTCATCTTGTTTCTTGTTTGTAGAATTCTTGCAAGCCTCAAAACTTTCTGTCATTTTATACTTTGTTGCCTTTAGTCTATGTTTGCAGTATTTATACCACTATAACATTCTCCAAATCCTGGTGGATCTCTCTGCATGCCACAGAGAGTCATTCCATTAGAAAAGAGACTCTTCCATATCATTTCTAGAAAATCTTGCCTCTATCATTGGCCTCTGCTGAGATGGCTTAAGGAATCTGTGAGTCACCTGCTTAATATTTTCAAAGATCCTTTTGTGTGACTAAATACTCTGATTTCTAAAATCTTTCTGAGGGAAAATGTTGTTCCAGCTACACCCTCAGCTCTTTCTCTAGATCCTCATTTCCCATGGTAAATTTCTTAATTTGGGCATCTTTAGTAAACTTGCTAAGCTGATGATCTCCCAAATCAGCAAGTCAGGACTCTTTCTAACTTAACAGTTTTATTTCAAGTTCTGTCTTTCCCCTCACAATTCACGATGAGCACCAAGGAGAAATCTGGCCCCACTTTAAATCCCTGACTTGTAAATCCCCTTAGTTCAATTTCAGATTTCTTCATTTACAATTTCTGCTTTCTACATAAATTGCAGGATATAATTCCACTAAGCTACCTGCCACTATGTAGCAAGGATTCTTTTTCTACCAGTTTCCAATAACTCTTTTTCTGGGAGGCTGGAATCTCCCTCTGTTGTTCAGACTGGAGTGCAGTTGTACAATCTCTGCTCACTGCAACCTCCACCTCCTGGGTTCAAATTAGTCTCCTGCCTCGGCCTCATGAGTAGCTGGGACTACAGGTGCCTGCCACCAGGCCAGGCTAATTTTTGTATTTTTAGTAGAGACAGGGTTTCACCATGTTGGCCAGACTAGTCTTGAACTGGATTTTGTGATCTGCCCAGCTTAGCCTCCCAAAGTGCTGAAATTACAGGCATGAGCCACTTTGCCCAGCCTCCAATAACATATTTCTAATTTCTGTCTGAGTCCTCAACAACAGCAAGATTAACATTCTTATTCACTTCATTAGACATCCATATTTCTCACCAACAGTCTTTTTGAAATGTGTGTTTTCTTTGTCATGTTCTTTATTTCCTCCTGCGTCCTTACTAGCATATTTCTAACAACAATTTATTCAAGGAAATCTAGGTTTTCCTATTATGTTTTTGAAAATCCTTCCAGCTTCTGCTCATTTCTAATTTAGAAGCCACTTTTCCACTTGCATATGTTTATTATAGCAGTATCCCATTCTTTGTATCAAAATGAATATTGCTTTTCTATCACTACTACACAAATTACCACAAATGTGGTGGCTTAAAACAGCACAAATGTATTATCTTAAAGTTTGGTAGTCCAGAAGACTAATGCAGATGTCACTGTGCTAAAGTCAAGGTGTTAGCAGGTGCTTTCCTTTCTTAACTTTTTTTAGCTCCTGATGTTGTTCACATTCCTTGACTTGTGTCCTTTTCTTTCACATTGGTGGACTGAATCCTCATATTACATAATTTTGAACCTTCTTCTGTGCCACATCTCCTTTTCTGATTCTCCTCTTTTTTCTTCCTCTTACTCTTTTAAGGTGACAACATTAGGTCCACCTGGATAATTTAATAAAAAAATAACTACTTAAGAACAGCTGCTTGGCAATTCTAATTTTATTTGCTATCTTAATTAGTCTTTGCTATATAAGATAACATACTTGTAGGTTCCAGGGACTAGGACACGGACATATTTGGGGAGACCTACAACAATTACAATATGCAGACATAATTTATAACTGTTTAGTGATTCCAACATTTAACCACGTCCAGTAAGTTGTGGAAACTTCACATCCATGTAGGTCCTTTTACATTCTCCACATTTCCTGATCTTGATTTTAAATATCAGATTTCATAATAATTTTTGTTTCAATCCTCAAATAATGTTTATAAAATCAGTGAGAAAAAAGACAAACTGTTGTAGGTACCCATATTTATTCTTTTCCTGTTGTTCATTCTTTCTTCATAATGGTTCTTGATTATTTCATCAATTCCTTTATGTTTGACAAAATTACTCCTGACAATCTCTAAGGATAAGTCTGGTAGTGAGATTTTTTTTTTTACTGTTTCTTTTTCTTAGAATATCTCTATTTACCCTTCATTCTCAAAGGACAGTTTTGTTGGATGTAAGATTTGATGTTGACAGTATTTTCTTTCAGCACTTGAAATATGTAATATTTTCTTCTTGCCTCCATGGCTTCCAGATGTAAAATCCAATATGATTCAAATTGGTAATGCATCATTTGTTTTTGCCAGCTTTCGAGGTTTTTATTTCTTTGATTTTACTTTTGCAGTTTTTTTTATAATGTGTCTTGGTGAGAATTTCATGAGGTTTATTCTATTTCAGATTCACTTCACTTTTTCAACTTGTGTTTTTATTTTTATTTTTTTGCCAAATTTAGAAAGTTTCAGGCATCATATCTGAATAGTCATAATGGCCCCACACTTTTTTCTCTTTCTGACACTCTAATAGCACAAATATTCTTCTGGCCTTGGCTTTAATTTCTCTTTATTCCTGCCTTCTGACACCTATTCTTCCTTCTTCTGAGCTTGGTGTTATATTGAAATGTGAATTGTACACCTAGCATTTCCAAGTACTTATAGTGGGAGGGTGGCTTAATCTGTAACATCTCAATATTCTATGCTGCCAGAAATCATCTGAGCAAGTGTGAATGCCCATTTTTTATGGTCAAAATGAATCAAAGTACTTTTTCTGAGGCTGTGAAGTAACTTCAAAGTAAGAAGTGCTTCTTTGTACCTCTTGTGTCAGGGATGGGAAAAATCCAATTACAAATTCATTGTCTTTTAGGGCTTGGGGTAACTCTTAGAAAGTCGGGATTTCCTGCACAGCTCTGGCAATATATAGGAGTGAGTTCAGCATCCTTGCACGTGAAAGACATATTCTACTGAAGTCAGCAAAGGCAATTTGAATAAGAACTACTATGAACTTACCTTATATAGGATTATTTAATCTCACAGTCATTCTTGAACAGCCAGTGAAATTAGGAATTATGTTTTCCAAGGAAACAGCTAGTACTATTAATCAGATAATTAAGAAATCTTATTATATTTACCTTAGATGTGCTATTGAAAAGTACAAGTTGCTTACTTGGCCTAATTTCTGAAATCTTTTAGTTTCAGACTAGTTAGTATTTAGAAGCTATTTGTTTGACACTCCACCATATCCATTACTAGCAGGCAGGCTTTTTCATTCCTCATGTTTAAGAGTAGTCGAAAATTGACAAACAAAAGGTAAAATATATTATCCATTTACCAAATGAGTCCTCCTAATAATATTGTTTGCATATGTAATTAGAGCCTAGATTACATATCTATGTAAATGTATACATACATATGTATTTGAAGGTATACCAAAACCAAAAAATTAAAAAAATAACGTGAGTTGAATTCTATATTTTTATTTTACAGCCTATTATTTTGTTCTCAGTATAATTGTTCTGGATAAAACTATGACAGATGGCTCTTTTTCATTTAAATTATTAAACCAGCTTGGAATAATTGAAGAGTCAAGGCTTTATGAGTAAGTAGAATGTAGTATTTTCTTCTCTCCTAAATTCAATGTTTGCTTTCTTCAGGATCCCATCTACCAGATAATTTAAATAGTATAGTTTATTTTTAATCCAGAGAGTCTTAAAATGTTAAATATTAAAAGGATCTCATGTGTTATATACTAAATCCTTTATTTTACAGAGAAAAGTAACATATTTAAAGAGTTTCTTTTACTTTAAGCAACTAGAGACTTTAAAAGTGTAAGTGTATCAGGAGATTGAGACCATCCTGGCTAACATGGTGAAACCCCGTCTCTACTGAAAATACAAAAAAATTAGCCAGGCCTGGTGGCATGCACCTGTGGTACCAGCTACTTGAGAGGCTGAGGCAGGAGAATCCCTTGAACCCAGGAGGCTGAGGTTGCAGAGAGCCAAGATGGAGCCACTGCACTTCAGCCTGGGTGACAGAATGAGACCCTGTCTCAAAAAACAAACACACAAAAAAGTTATAAGTGTTAAAGATGGCTTTGTTTCTTTCTCTCTTTTGACTCTCATTGCAGTCTTACTCCTAACCACCTTGCTTTCCAATTTCTCCAGTTTCTAGGCAGTATCACATTCACAGTGATGTGAATAAACGTTTAGTGACTTCTGTAAATAGAGTGATACAATTTTAGAATTTTAGAGAGCAATTCCCACCTACAACGCTCCCAAATAATAGGAGAGGGTTTTGTTTCTCAATCTTCTGTTTAACTTTGTACATATGTATGTGAACATGTGTATACATATTTTTAAGGTTGTATAATTATATAAAGAATGTTCTTGGCTTGAGCTTGTTGAATATATATTTCTGTGTTTAATAATTTCTTAAACTAGAAAATATTTTTTTCTTAGAAGAATGATATAAAGGGGCACACTAATTACTATACAATTGTGGTTTCCAACCTGCCATGCTAGACTTCTAAATAGCCATTAAATAATGAAATGATTTTCAAAAGGCTCACAGACACCATAACTAGTGATTAAAAGAATATAAAGGTTTGTTCTATTGTGGATAGACAGAGCAATTTGGCTACAGTTTTGAGTGGTTACTGAACATATTAGGATTTCAGGAATCATAGCTGATATTTCCAACATTTACTGCTGTACAGTTTAGGTAGTTATTGTACATAAGTTAATTAATTAACAAATTTAATGTTTGATGGACCTTAGACTTGAGTACATAGAGATATCCAAATTCTGTGAGCCAGGAGAAAGTCCCTGACTAGTTATTTATTTGCACATTCACAAACAATGGAAGTGAAATGTTTAATGTTATGGTGTTATTAACACTTAAGTAAAATATGAAACAATATTAAAATATAAAAAGTAGCCATAGCTCATAATAATAAATAAACTTTTCAAACCTTCGAATCCACAAAGAAAATAATGATAAGTTCACCATAATGAAAATGTGAAATACCTGTGTACTGAGGTAACATAAAGACCATTACATCATGGGATGCCATGATCATCCTTAGAGATAATATCCTGGGTTTCAAGTCCAGCAAAATTTTTAAAATTTTGAACATATTTTAAATATTTTATTATTAGATTGTATACATTTAATTTTCTTAAAGTTAATAAATACATTTAAGATAAGTTAACAGTTGGATAGGACTGGTAGTGAAAGAGTAACAATTATCCTTGTTCCTTTCCCTTTTTAAACTAACCTTTCATCACCCAAAGAAGATAAAAAAAATTAAACAAAAATTCTGGCCAAGAGCCATGGCTCATGCCTGTAATCCCAGCATTTTGGGAGGCCAAGGTGGGTGGATAATGAGGTCAGGAGTTCAAGACCAGCCTGACCAATATGGTGAAACCCCATCTCCACTAAATATACAGAAAAACAAAAACATTAGCCAGGCATGGTGGCACACCCCTGTGGTCCCAGCTACTCAGAAGGTTGAAGCAGGAGAATCACTTGAACCTGGGAGGTGAAGGTTGCAGTGAGCCAAGATTGTGCCATTGTACTCCAGACTGGGCAATAGAGCAAGACTTCATCTCAAAAAAATAATTCCAATCCAAATCCTTGACTTTCATTGGAACCTATCTTTTACTGAGAAAAACTTTTTGGCTTTTTTCATCTACTTTTGAACACTGAATGTTTTAAAATAGTAACTAATATTATTCTATAATTGTTCATTGCTTTAAATTGCTTACAGTTGTATATATGAATGTATATACATATGCATTCACACATAATCTATTATTTATTCTTGTCAGAAACATGAGTTTTGGCTATTAAATTGATTCAAATCATTCAGCATCAAATTTATTTGGGCATTTTTCAAAATAATGGAAATCCAAACTGACACAGACAGTATTTTGTTTTCAGGGAAGTCACAGAATAATGGAGACTCGTGCATAATCGTAGCTTTTAATAAACTGTTTTATAAAAGAAGATCACTCAATGTATGGTTCAAGCAGAGAGAAGAAACAAGGAAGCATATGAAAGCAAGGCAATACAGCCAGGGAAAAGAAAGAATGTACCAAAAACCTAGAGATAGGAGAGTACCTGAAGTGGTTTGGCTCTTTTTCCCCACCCAAATTTCACCTTGAATTATAGTAATCCCCACGTGTCAAGGATGAGCCCAGGTTGAGATAATTGAATCATAGGCATGGTTTCCCCCATACTATTCTCCTTGGTCCTGCAGGTGTGCAGAAGATAAGAATCGAGGTTTGGGAACCTCCACCTGGATTTCAGAGGATGTGTGGAAATGCCTGAGTATTCAAGCAGAAATCTGCTGCAAGGGCAGAGCCCTTATGGAGAACCTTTGCTAGGGCAGTGTGAAAGGGAAATGTGGGATTGGAGACTTACACAGAGTTCTCACTGGAGCCCTGCCTCACGGAGCTGTGAAAAGAGGGCTACCATTCTCCAGAACCCAGAATGGTAGATCCACTGACAGCTTGCACTGTGAACGAAGAAAAGCTGCAGACACTCAATGCTAGCCATGAAAACAGCTGGAAGAGGGGCTGAACCCTGCAAAGCCACAGGGGTGAGCTGCCTAAGTCCATGGGAGCCCACCTCGTGCATCAGCATGCCCTGAAAATGAGACATGGAGTTAAAGCAGATTATTTTGGAACCTTAAGGTCTTTTGGTTCTTTTTCATTTTTTATTTTTAAGGTTTAATGACTGCCCTATTGGATTCTGGACTTGCATGGGGCTTGTAGCCCCTTTGTTTTGGCCAATTTCTCCCATTTGGAATGGATGCATTTACCCAATGCCTGTATCAGCATTGTATTTGGGAAGTGACTCACTTGTTATTGATTTTACAGGCTCATAGGTGGAAGGGACTTGTCTCAGATGAAACTCTGGACTTGGACTTTTGGATTAATGTTGGAATAGTTAATTCTTGGGGGGGCTGTTGGAAAGGCATAACTGTGTTTTTAAATGTTGGAATATGAGATTTTGGAGGGTCAGGGGTAGAATAATATGGTTTAGCTCTGTGTCTCCACCCAAATCTCACCTTGAATTGTAATAATCCCCACATGTCAAGGGCAGGACCAGGTGGAGATAATTGAATCATGGGGGTGGTTTCCCCCATAATATTCTCTTGATAGTAAGTTATCAAGAGATCTGATGGTTTTATAAGGGGCTTCACCCTTTGCTCGATTCTCATTCTTCTCTCTCCTGCCACCATATAAAACAGGACATGTTACTTTCTCTTCTGCCATGATTTTAAGTCTCCTGGGGCCTCCCTAGCCATGCAGAACTGTCAGTTAAACCTCTTTTCTTTATAAATTACCAAGTCTTGGATATTTCTACATAGCAGCATGAGAATAGATTAATACAGTATCTAAATTCAAAAATTGCACACAGCCACCAGCCTAGAACAGTTGTTTCAAATTTGTTCAGAAGATAAAGAAACTGTAACTCTTAATTTACAAACATATTCTATGTGGAACAGGATGAAATAGTGATAGTTTTATTCACATACTTGGATTAGTGTATTTTCATGAAGGAATATAAAATATGGAAACATAAACACATATGTTATAACCTGTCCACCTAATTTTGGATAATGATTTTACTGTTTTTTATTAAAATTATTTTCTAATACAGTCATGCATCACTTAACAACGAAAGCATCCTCTGAGAAATGCATGCTTGAGTAATTTTGTCATTGTTTGGACATTATAGAGTGTATTTACACAAACCTAGATGGTATAGCCTGCTTCACACATATGCTATATGGAATGTAACATAGGTTTGTAACCTGAAAGCAATATATTGCAAACCTGTACAGCATGCTATAGTATTGAATACTGGAGGCAATTGTAACATAATCATAAATATTTGTGTATGTAAAAATATCTAAGCATACAAAAGGGTAGAGTAAAAATATGGTGTTATAATCTTATGAGATTATATGCAGTCATATATGCAGTCCTTTGTTTACCAAAACATCCTTATGTGGCACATGAGTATACATTTAATTATGTTTTGGGATTTAAATTGTCTTAAAGATACCATGGGAGTCAAACAATTTTAAATGATCTTTTATTTTCCTTTTCAAAATGGAAACAGGAATATTTATTCACTGTAGAAAATGTGTAAGAGTATATAATAGAATATAAGGACCACCTATAATTATACCATCCAGAAATATCTACTCTTTGCATTTGATTTATAATTATTCCTTGTCCTCCTTCTTGTACATCCTCTTATGTACAGACACATCCTTTTTCATTCTTTATTTTTTATTATACTTTAAGTTCTGGGGTCCATGTGCAGATCATGCAGGATTGTTACATAGGTTATACACATGCCTTGGTGGTTGGCTGCATACATTCCCTCATTATCTATATTAGGTATTTCTCCTCATGTTATCCCTCGCTAATCTCCCAACCCCTGATACCCCTCCCTTAGCTCCCCTACCCCCCAACAGGTCCCAGTGTGTGATGTTCCCCTCCCTGTGTCCATGTGTTCTCATTGTTCAACACTCACTTTTGAGTGAGAACATGCGGTGTTTGGTTTTCTGTTCTTGTGTCAGTTTGCTGAGAATGATGGTTTCCAGGTTTATCCATGTCCCTGCAAAGGACATGAACTCATCCTTTTTTATGGCTGCATAGTATTCTGTGATGTATCTGTGTCATATTTTCTTTATCTAGTCTATAATTGATGGGCATTTTTTTATTTAGTAAAATTAGGATCTGATTGAAATGTGTTCTGCATCCTGATTTTTGTACTGAATGTTATTTTTTCTATGCCACTAAAGATTCATTGGACCAGGTGTATTCATATGCTAATATAGGATGTTAAGTGGAAAATATCAATATTTGGTATTCAGGATAGAAGGATGGCCCAGACATATGAGTAATAGGGAGATTAGAGGGAACACAACCAGAGACAGGAGGCTACAGAAGTAGTTACTGTGATAATTCATGTGAAAGATAATGTGAGCCTGGGTCTAAGTCAGTGGAAATGAAAAAACAAGGTAAGGAAATTCTAGAGGTTTTGGGCTTTAGAATAGGTATGTTATGTGTTTGCATGGTTAATTGAATTAGTGAAAGTTAAGGAAAGAAACCAATCTAGAGTGACTTCAAGTTTAGAGCTTTGTGACTATTTAAAAAGTATAATGCCATTCTACACTGAGCTGAAAGATACATGGAGAGAATCCAATTCAGTCCATTCCTTAAAAATTATTGAGTTCTTCTATAGATCAGGACCTGTGCTAGGAATAGGGGATGCAATTCTGGATAGGTTAGATGCTCTGCTCTTATATAAATTAGATATCTGTAGCAGATAGATTTTAAATTAATAATAAAAGTGAAACAATGATGTCCATCATTCCTCAATTCAAACAACTTTTAATGAGCATCTACATTGAGCCAGGCACTGTGTTAGCTGCTGGGCATACTGTGATGAGAAAATCAGTCATGGTCCTACCTTCATTAAGTTCATAGCCTAATGAGACATATAAGGATAGACAAAGAATTATAAAACTATATAAGTAAAATCTGTTCATGAAAAATTGTCTTGACACAAATTGTAGTGTATATGGAAAATTAAAATAGGGCGTATAAATTAGTGGAGTGACTAAAAGCTTCTCCATGATAGTATATTAATTGAGTCCTAACTGATGAACAGGAGTCACTGCCCTGCTGCATTCCAGGTTGAAGGGCCAATAAATACAGACTATCTGAAGCAAGGAGAAGCATGGCCCACTTCAAGAGGTGAAGGGAGTTTTGGTGTGTTTAAGAATAGAGAGTGGGAAAGCTAAAGAAAGAGGGGAAATGTAGAGAACACTTAGATATTTTGAAAGAAATTAGAACTCTTAGGCCATGTTCCAGAATTTATTTTTTATTAACTGGGCATATGAAAACCACCAAAGTATTTTAGTTGTGGCAGTCAGGTTGAGGCCATAATTGGACTTTTCTTTTGGAAAAACAATTTGACTGAAGTGGATTGGAGAGAAACAAAGCAAGATGCCATCGCAGGAATATGGCATGACACAATGGTGTCCTGGGTTTGAAGGTTTATAGTTGAGATGAAAAAATGAGGGATTCAAATCAGTTTTGATATTTCAGGGGTAAAGTCAGCAGAAATTTCTGATAGATTTAATGTGGCAGTTGAAAGAAGGGTGCTATCAAAGATGAATCCTAGTTGTTTGACTTGGATATTAGGTGGTGGTGCCATTTAATACTCTGAGAAAATTTAAGTTTTAGTTTTAGTATATATATATATTTTTTTTTGGTTGGATAGAGTGTTGAGGAAGAGGAGTTGTTTAGATTTGAACCTAATGAGTTTCAGGCATTCTTGAGGTATCCAAACGGACATGTTGAATGACAGTGGATACATGTATCTAAAACTTAGCATACAGGCCTTAGCTAAAGGCAAAAATTTTGTGATCATGAGCAAACTGTTGGTAATTGAGCCACTTTCATGGCTGTGAATTTGTATGGGAAGATAACGCATACCCATCTGGCTATGTTGAATTTGAATCATCTCTGAAAAATTTAGGTAAGTTCATGCAAAGACATTAGAGATATATCTAATTACATTATAGTCTGTGAAAGAGGAGGTGGTAACACTGCGAGGAGGTAGCAGAGATGGACTTTGAATGATCATTGTGTCCTTTTTTTGGTTTCTAACTGTTGCAAGGAATCAAAAAGAGAGCAGAAAAAATGTGAGATGGCAGGAGGTGCTGGGTGCCCCAATGGTTACTCTTCAGCTGTTCTCTGTGTGATTGTCACCTTCGATTAACCAAGTTGTTGTGGCTCAAAAGGGAATGTTCTTTAAACTGATTTTTCAAAAAAACTTTTCTTTCCTTCACTTCTGTCCTTTTTTTAGTTCCTTCCCTTTCTCCTCCTCCTCCACCTTTTACTTCTCTTTCTCTCCTTTTATCTCCTCCTACACCTCTTCTTCCTCCTTCTCCTTCTCCTCTTTGCCATCAGTTTTATCTAGTAAGAAAAAGTGCAACAGAGTAGCTAGAGTTCCTCTTGCGTCAGGAAAGCCCTAATTGACATAAATTGCTCTCCAGGGACCGATATTTCTGGCACATAGAGTGAGAAATTGAGCAGAGTGGTGAAGAGTGTTATTAGCTGCATGGTTTTGTGAAAGACACTTACATGCTCTGATATTGTTTTCTTATCTGTAATGGTAATACTCATAGTACCTAATAAAAGGAGTTATTCAGAGAGTTAAATAAGGTTAAGTATATAAAGCTTAATTACATTGCAAATGCATGAAAAATTGTACTTATTAAACACTATATTTTTATTTTGAATCTCAGGCCTTGAAAGTTATTTCTTTTGGTCAAAAATATTTGATAAAATATTTTTAAGTTATCCCTTGCACATCTAGTCTATTGAAGGAACTGTGATAATTAAAGAATCTAAAAAACATATACAGGATGACTTCTCTACTTTTAGACAAATATACAAACTAGACATATACTCAGAAAGACATGTTACTTTTTACCTAAAAAAAGCCTTTTCAAAATAGTTACATGATGGAATGCATTTATTATTATTATTTTGTTCTCTTATAAATTACTGTTTTAATTATTTTAATAAATACCCCAATAATATTTTGTTTGGTCTTTTCCCTATAGTATTGCTCCCTGTGGCCTCCCTTATTAGGATTATATTGATTTTAGAATTGAATTATGTTTCAAATTATTAATATGCTGAACATATCAAATTTCTCTCTAGAAAGAACCCACCATTTTATAAACTTCAGGAAGTCAAGATTCTTGCTCAATTTTACAATGACTTTGTAAATATTTCAAGCATTGGTTTGACATATTTCCAGAACTCAAATCTCCAGTGTTCCACATGCACATACAAGATCCAGAGTCTCATGTTAAAATCACTTACATATCCAGAAAGGTAAGAAAATTAAATTTTGAATTCAACATGTTATCTTTTAAACTTGAAAATATTAGTTTGTTAAGTAATGGTTTAAGAATTCATGTTTTCAAATACTTGTTGTGTATTTCAGTCTATATTTTACACAAATATTAGAATATCAAAATGGCATAAAGTTTTTTTTTCTTGCTTGAATGAAATTTATTTGGTAATCCCATTGTGTAATCAAAGAAGAAAACACACATAGTCATTTCAAAGACGCAAGAAAGATGAAAAAGTAACAATAATGTCTGCCTTAGAAGTTTACCAGTAATTTCTTCCATAAACATACATATTTACAGAGTGGTGAGAGTCCTTTTCTGCAATTTTTTAGATGGGGTCCCATGATGAAAACTCTCTAAGGAAATACATGGTCACAGATGATAGACTTTATCATGACTTCCAGCATTAACTTCTTTTTCTCAACTTCACTGCTGTTCAGTTGAGAAGACAGAAAAGTCCATTTTCATCTGCTGTACCTAAGGTACTATCGATCACTTGAGATTCAACCCTAAGAATATATTGACAGGAGTGAAACTCTCAGATATGAACTATAACAGCATGAGGAGAAGCTGACACTTTACATTGCAGTTTTATAGCCATCTGTCTTGACTGGTCTAGTATATCACAGATATCTCCATTCCCATTAAAATGTAACACAATCCTTGCTGTGTGGACACAATTTTCCTGAAGACGACATGCTCTAGAAGTGTTTTTCTTATTCCATTTAATATACTTTTCTCAGTTCTATGTCCGCACAATCACAGAGTATTTCCCACTATCCTTGTTTCACATGGTATCAGTGTACATGTTTGCTGTAAAAGAATCCATATTTCCATTGACAACCCCTTGTGAAATCCTGAAGAACCATTAAAAATCTCTTTTATAAGTTGGTCATCTGTTAATTTGCATATGTGAGTTGTCCAAACAGTAAGCATCAGCTGACAGCCAGTAGTAGAAATGGGTGCGTACATTGCTGGAAATCTCACTTCTTCGGTTGACTGTGGTTCTTCCTTTTTATTTCTCTTTATATTCCTGTATATATATTTCCCAATTATCTTCCTGTCAATGTTAAACATAGTACACAAGAACCTGTGGGTGTAATAATAAAAATAATAAATGTTAAGAATATACATTTAGATGGGGTCTATTTCAACAGAAGAGAGTTGGGAAGTCATTTTGTAACTTTTGGTGTGATATCATTTAGTCACTGAAAAGTCAATAAATCAGATATCAATATAATGGCAAAAATCAAGGAGTAGTTTTATTGTTCCTTGCCTTTGATTGAAATTCTTACAAAAACACCAAAATATCTGAACATTTTCAGCAGGAACATTAGCAACATCATTCACTACGAAAGTACACAGTGGGGAGGGTTAATGCCTTGAAGGACCAGAGCTGCAAGATTTTCAATCTGCTACTAATCTTTGCATCTATTATTATTATTATTTATTTATTTATTTATTTATTTGCTTCTGATTATTCTCTCTGTTCCAAAACAACTCGTACTTTTACTGGTAAAAGGCTACTGCATTTGGGGATTCCATTTTCTGGTCATTAGAAGAGCATATGTGGTTGTGGAGTACGCATATGTCACTAGGTTTTTCTAGAGTTTCTATTAAACACTCTCCCAGAGCAATGTTTACGCTATGATTCTGATTAAAATTCAAGTAGCATTATGATTAAAATTTATGTCTCAGGGAACTTGATGTCAGGAAGTTACTTCCTAGGACAGATAAAGCAAATAATTGAGTTGATAGATATTAAAAAGTATATATCCAAATATAAGTGGAAGTTAATATACTAATTACAATATAAACATAAAATCTAAATTATAAATATGTAAATTGGTCACGCATGGTGGCTCATGCCTGTAATCCCAGCATTTTTGGAGGCCAAGTCAGGAGGATCACATGAAGCCAGGAGTTTGAAACCATCCTGGGCAATAAGGTGAGAAATCCTGCCTCTACAAAACATTTTTAAAAATTAGCCAGGCATAATGATGTGTGCCTGTAGTCCCGGCTACTAAGGAGGCTGAGGTGGGAAAATCACTTGAGCCTGGAGGTTGAGGCTGCAGTGAGTCATGATTGTGCCACTGCACTCCAGCCTCATCAACAGAGCAGGACCCTGTGTCCCCCCCAAAATATATTTAATCTATTATCTATAATCTATAATTGTAATTTTATAATACATAATTATAATCTATAATGAGGTCTTTGGGCCAATATGCTGACTTTTTTTTATTTCCTTTAAGTAATTGTTTTATTTATTTATTTATTCAATGTTATTTCAAATTATTCTTTTATTTTTTATTGTACTTTAAGTTCTGGGATACATGTACAGAAGAATGTGTAGGCTTGTTACATAGTTATACACGTGCCATGGTGGTTTGCTGCACCCATCGACCCGTCATCTACATTAGGTTTTCCTCCTAATGCTATCTAGCTCCCGCCACTTCCTGACTATTATTTTGAAGATGAAAAGCCTTCCCTAAACATAAGAATAGAAATGATGTTTGTAGTCCCCTAATGCTAGACTATAAAGGGGCCAGTATTGTTGCACCATTGTAACAGGGGTTAAAGTCCCCTAGTTGCCCTATTCCTTCTAAATATAAAGTTGGAGTATAAACAGAGATGGCTAGATGTTATAGTGCATGCTTCTTTCCTGGGATTTAAATTTTAAAAATTTATATTATCCAGGAATAAAGTTTTCACTCTATCATAAATACCTCAATCCAGAGGCAGCACACAATATAAATCTTGGCTGGACATTAGAAATTTAGCTAGAATATTTTCACATAAAAGAACACATAAACTCAAGATGAGAAAGAGAAATTTAGTTCCATTCATGTGGAAAGTAAAAAGAATCAAGGACAATTCACCCTCTGTGTACATCGGCAAATGCCAGGGCAGATATTCCTTTCATTATTTAAACAGAAGTGGACAGGAAAAACACAAAAAGACAACCAAATTAGGGCTAATTCAGGATAGCAATGCAAGAAGAAAAGGCATAACAATTAAGGATTCAAAATAAGGTTGGCTTTTAAAAAGGTTTTTAACAGGAAATAGAAGAAAGTTCCATAAAGCATTGGTTAGTGTTCTCAATGATATTTGAAAAAAGCAGAAATCCTTGGAAGACTAGGTGAAAAGTGAGATGATGAGACAACTGATTGCAGTTAAAAGAAAGTTGGCTGAGTTTAAAAAAAACGTAAAGTTATTTGGTATCAACATTAAAATAGTAAAAAATAGATTTGATCAATAATGTGAAAAATATATTTATTGATAATGTACAGCATAAAGAGATACAAAAATTAGATAAAATAGGGTATTATTTAGGGAAAAATAATTGACATGCAATATTTGGATACCTAATGTTCCTGAAAAGGAGACATGACAGAAGAACTAACCGCAGATATAGTACAATAAAATTCCATTCAACTGAGGAAAAGAAGATACAGATCTCAAATAGAAAGGATGAACTAAAAACCAGGTACTAAAAGAACTAAAAGAAAAGACATTTAGACCCATTTGTATAAATTTTATATTAAAATTTTGATACTGAAGAGAATTCTGCAAATATTCAAAAAATTATCCATGGAGTGGAAGATTCAATGTTATAGCAATAGCAATTCTTGTTAAATGCACCAATAAGATTAACATGAGTCAGTCAAAAACTACCAAGGGGAGGGGACTCAAGATGGCGCTGTGAGAACAACCCAGGATTGGAGCCCGCGTTGAATTCGCAAACGGTGAGTCAGTGCTGCATTTCCAGACTGATCTTTGTTGCCCACAGAACGGGGAAACTCCCAAGTATAAAAAGACACGGGATGCCAGGCAGTAGGTCTGCCTGGCGAAGCTGGCAGCCGGGGCGGTGACGGACAGCCCTACCCAGCAATCCCCACAGGGCGCGCTTGTCCGGGTGCCTTGTTGAACTGGCAACCTGAGACTTGAGAGGGCTGGACTTGAGACTGAACGAGACTTCCACAGTAGCCCAGCCCAGGGGATTGCAGCGACAGATCGCTTGGGATACCCAGTGGGACGAACAAAACCGCGATTTCAAACTATCCCGGGCAGACGGTCCGAGACGCTCTGTGGGGGAGGGGCGTCCACCACTACGGAGGCAACCTACCCCAACTGATATACACGCCCACTGCTGACGCAGCCAGCCGTTGCCGAGGCAACCCGCCCCAACTGAGATACACGCCCACTGCTGACGCAGCCAGCCGTTGCCGAGGCAACCCGTCCCTACTGAGATACACGCCCACTGCTGACGCAGCCTGCCGTTGCTGAGGCAACACGCTGCCACGAACAGACTCCGCCGCAGGGCGTGGCGGAGACCACAGCAGAGCCGGCAGGAACAGCGCGAATCACACAACAGCAGGGCGGAGCCTCGGCAGCCAAACAGTGGCTAGTCTGCCTTTGAGCTGGGCAGGACACCTGATCGGACATCCAAAAATAAAGCCCAAACCCCTCAACACAGAGCATTTGAGAAAAAAAAAAAGGGTTGTTTAATGAGCTGTGTTGCAGCAGAATCAAACATAGCAGCCTAACAGCCCTGAATGAACAACAGAGTGCACAGCTCAGCAATTAAACCCCTATAAAGTACAAACTGTCTCCTCAAGCAGCTCCCTGACCCCTCTATATCCAAAAGACTGTCATTAGGCAGGCATCATCCTGGGACAAAGAGAGCAGAAAAAGAAACTGGTAGCATCCCTCGCTGTGCCATGGCTACTAGAGGTGCACCCCACACAAGCAGGGTCTGGAGCGGACCTCAACAGTCGTACAGTGAAGGGGCTAGACTGGTAGAAGGAAAACCAAGCAACAGAAATACTTCATCATCAACATTCTGGGTGTCCACTCAGAGACCCAAACGAAAAGTCAGCAACTACGCAGACGACCAGCGGACAAATCCACAAAGATGGGAAGAAACCAGCGCAAAAAGGAGGAAATCACCCGAAACCAGAACACATCGCCTCCTAGAAA